TATATTAAAAATTATAAAATATTTTATATGATAAAATATTTTCTTATATTAAAAAAAAACTTAACGCATGGTAGCCATCTGAACAAGAGAGGTGTTACGATTCATGACAGTGCAGGGACCACTTTTGAATTTGATCAGGTTTGATTGTAAATAATTTTCCATTAGAGGCAGATTACATTGAACACACAGAGTCTGAGTTACAAGAAAAACTCCTCTTGTCTAGGGATCAAGAAATGTCATATACGAACGAGCCAATCTCTAATGCAGATTGTAAAATGAAATGGCAATAAATGCTGTTTGAAACCAAGAAGTTCCTATTTAAGTGTGATAGTTGACAGATTTCTTCAAGTTGTTCAAACAAGCAAAAGTCTTAAAGCTCTAGAGAGAACAACGGACCCAGCCAACGGACCCAGCATGCCTTCAATTTCCATCTTTAGTTGCAGCACAAAATGTAAAAGTTGACAACATTCTTCCCGGCTTTTCAAATCCGTATCGGTCAATTCCATGTGACTTGTCGTACCAATGTTTTTCCCCAGGATACTGGTGTCAACGCTCTACCAGTTTATTCCATAAAAGAGCACTTTTGTTTACCATGGGAAAATAGTTTTTGCTGATTTTTTAAATTTCGGTAATGTTTCATGTTTTATTTGTTATAATTGGTTCAAATAAAATTTAATTACAATAAATTATTTAGTTTGTTATAAATACTTAAACTTGTATTTAGTTGTTAAAATCGTTTTAAGGTTCATTTTTTTTTCAAATATTTCATTTAGAATGCGGAATAGTTGCGAAGTAATAGTTACTTGATAGTAGTAATATAAAAAAGTTTCAATTACTATTATATTTAAATAAAATAAACTATAATTGAACATTTTGAAAATGCTATCTTTTTGGCAATTTTATGAATCACTAGTGAATAACTAATGTTAATTTAATAATAACAAATATAATTATAATTTCATTTATTTTCGCTACCCATTTTCTTTTTCCCATTAAAAATACATACATAACAATAATTTTGAAAAATATTTTGACAACAACAAAAAAATGTGTACAAAGTTAATAAGTAACATTTAAAATAACAATTACAATTAAACACACATTTAAAGTTATAATTACAATTAAACACAAAGTTAAAATATTAACAAGTTTAATTACAAAACATTTAGATATTTTGTTTTTTGAATGATAATAATAATAATAATTTATTATTATGAAAACCTTGATAATGAATTATAAATACGTTTTAGTTACATAAAAAAGTATATATTACAAATACATAAAAAAAACCCGGTGGGAAAAAGATAGCCAAATAATAAAAGACGTGTTTAAAACGTGTAAATCACGTATTAGTACATATATAATACGTTTTAAACGCGTCTTTTACCCCTATGTAGCGACTAACAAGCTATACGCTAGCTAGTTGCTAGCTCATTTCCCATAATTTTGAGTTATAATATATATTTAATATAATTATATATATATATATATATATATATATATATATATATATATATATATATATATATATATATATATATACATATATATATATATATATATATATATATATATATATATATATATATATATATATATATATATATATATATATAATTTATTTATATAATATATATCACACTAAATATGATTTAGTTTTGATATTATTATTGTATATTGTTATTATATAATGTTTACATTGATATTAATTGTATAAAATAATGTTATTTTGTTTTTTTATGACAAGATGTTTTTTGTAATTGTTTTCCTAAATCAAATAGGTTGTTGGGTAAATAGTTTAAACAGACATACTCATATATATATATATATATATATATATATATATATATATATATATATATATATATATATATATATATATATATATATATATATATATATATATATATATATATATATATATATTTATGCGGCCGTCGCGCAGTGGTAAGAGCACTTGCTTAATATGCAGGAGATCCAGGTTTGAAACGAGCTTTGGATATATTATCGCGTAAAGATACCGTCAAACGGGGTAACTTTGAAAGATTTTTGAGCATTTTTTCAAATAAATTCTTTCGTATAAATTTTTTTTTTAATTTTATTTTTTCGATATAACATTATACCTTTCTTTTATAGAATTCCATTAAATAAATTTTTTTTTAGTTTTAGAATATATTTTTTTAAGTCAAAAAAATGTTATCAATCTCAATCCTTCGTTGGGGGTGACTTTGATAGTTTATTATTTCTTAAAAGCTTATTAATTAAGCCATCTTTAGAGTTTTACTAAATTACAACTCAACATGCATATATTTTTAAGATTTTATTGGTAAAATTATAAGTTTAGACAACAAGATTGGTTATCGAATATATTCAGAATGGACAAAAAAAAAACAAAAAAAACAATTTAGTTTTAATATGCTAAACTTAACAATATAATATATCAATAGCATCATTAGAGTAATTGCAATAAGCAGTTATAAAATATTACTAACAAAAAAAAAAGTACTAATTGTATATAAATATGAAATACTAATGTACTTTACTTGTTTAACTCCATTTAATATAAAAAAAAACAAAAAAACCTAAAAAATCACATTTTCTGAAGATTTTACAACAAATGTTATTAAAACTGGACTAGATATTAGTTGTTCTGTGTAGTACCTCTAAACTGCTTTAGGGTACTAATTAGTAAAATAAATCTTTGAAAGACAGTGTTAATTTTATTACAGATATTATTACTGTTGGCTAAATATGCACTAGATATTAAGATGCACCTCTGGATATATCAAGTCAGTAATAAAAAAAGCAAACAACAACCAAACTCGTGGAAGAAGTGAATATATAACTCTCCTCTCAAAAATAACAGCTAATTATGTCATTAAGTCAATTTCTATACTTATTAAAAACAAATCAAGAAGATATTATAAAATCTGGTTTGTATTCAATTCAAATTGATACTACCCAAGATGTTTCAGTCACTGACATTTGTTCAGTGATAGTAAGATATGTTTCTTCAGAATATAAAATTGTGGTAGAGTCTACTATACATGAAAGAGTATTATCGTTTTTAAATCCAAAAAAAACTTCTGGTCAAGCATTATGTGATTTGGTGTCAAATAATTTATCTGAAAATATGATAGATGTAAAAAAATGTGTTGGTTCTTCAACAGATGGGTCATCAAATATGATTGGACAATATAATGGTTTTTCTAAATGGTTTGAAAAAGAGTGTCAAAGTCAACTTCATGTGTGTTGTTATGCACATTGTCTTAATTTGGTTATCATGGAAACTACGGCGGTTTCAACTCCAGCTGTATTTTTGTTTGGTCTGTTAAATAGTTGTGCTGTATTTTTTAGAGATTCACACAAACGAATGGACTTATGGCGTGATATAACAACAGATTATCGAGTGTTAAACCTAATTGAACAAACAAGATGGCGGGTTAAAGATCATGCATTAAAAAAGATGTTTGGTTCGTTTAAAGAACCGTCTAACTCGTTTTATGTAACTATCATAAATATATTGTCAATTATTTCTTCTAACAGTGAAAATTTCAATAAAAATTGTAGATATACTGCAACAATGTTATTAAAGTCTCTTATAAAGTTTGAAACAATTTTTACTGCACAGTTATATCTGAAAATATTTCAGCAAACAACACCATTATCTAAGAACTTGCAGACAAACGGCTTGTATATTTTTCAAGCTCAACAGATGGTAAATTCAACGTTAGAGTGTCTAAGAAGTGAAGCTAGAAATTTTGATGATGTTTTAATAGCTGCTAAATGTTTTGTTTCTTGGGCTAGTGATTTGATTGAAATTGAAAATGATATTGATGTTGTTATTCAAGATTCTCTTCCAAATGAACGTGCACTTGTAAGGAAAACAATTGATGGTGAAAATAGTAACAATGATCCAAATTATGCAGCTATTGATTTATAGAAACTTAATGTTCATAACACACCTATGGATACAGTTATTTATAAACTTGAGCAACGTTTCGCTAAACATTCAAAAATATGCTCAGATTTTTCTTGTTTAGATCCTCGTCAATTTTCAAAAAAATTACGAAAAAATGCTCTTTTTAAAATTAGTAAAGTACTTGGGTTTGAAAATTCTACGGTTTTAAGAGATGAATTTGAAGATTTTATTAAAAAATGGAATAAACTTAAATTAAATTTACCTGAAGTTTATGCAAGTTATAACCCAAATGAAGACACTGAGCTACCAAAGTTACATTTGGAAGAAAATAAAATTGAACAAAAAAACTGCAAAACAAATACTCGCTGTTTTAATTGTTTTCTTTGTTGTTTCAATGCTTTGCTTCAGTACAGATTATTTGTTGAGTCGTACAGCCATTTATTTTTGACTTATAAATATACCTTGACTTTGTCTTGCACCCAAGTAGACTGTGAAAAAGGTTTTTCTACCTTAAATTATATAAAAAATTGTCTACGGAATCGTTTATTATTTGGCAATTTGGATGCTTGGATCTTAATGAATTTAAATAAAGACATTTTAGAAAAATTAACACACGACAACATAATTGATAAAGTTGTAAAATATAGTTCTTTACTTAAAAAAGTTTTAATAATTTAGACGATTATACCACATTAGTTATTAAACATAATGGTTTCTTTATTTGTATTATTTTATTAATGTTTTACAGAGTTTCCTCTCTTCATTAAAAACCTTAAATAGTTAAAAACTTTGAACTCATTAAATAACCTCAGAAGATTGAGAATGATTCTCTTCTTGAGTAATGAGTTTCTCCTAAATTTTTTTTTTAATGTTTTGCTTTTTTAATTTAATCTCCTTGAAATTAAGGCAAGTTTAACAAAGCCTAAAAACTTGTGAAAAGTCGTTTATTAGAACTAGATATCTTTTTAGAAGAAACCTTGGGCTGTTTTATTTGGGTGCGAGATCGCCTGTCAATACACCCCCGCCCCCTCGTTAATTGGATTATAGAAAAAACTGTCATCCATCCTTTTTATTATAATTAATAAAAGACATTTAAAAAAAACAAGAAGAGCAAATAAGATGTTACTATTTGATGAGGCCGGTCACTAATAGTTTTCCCGGTCCATGTTTTAGAGCTAGTGCAACCCTGGTGACAAGACAGTAAGGTCTTCTTGGGGCATCTAAATAACAATAAAAAAAAGTTATACTTACCGCTAACTAGCTACTATCCTATTTACACTAATATTTGATGATAATCTGTGTTTCCTATCGACTATTTAAAGCATGAGCAAGTCTATTTAACTTAGTTTTCATATATTATATATTTATTTAGTTATATATTCTTGCTTAAATGTAAATATAACTAAAATTCTAGTGTTTATACAATGTCATAAGATTCAAAAAAATATAAATGATAAAAAATTTCTTATGTTTTATTTACTTATTTAAACCCTCCATTTAAAATTCCAAACTTAAATTATACGTTCTTAATTTAATGATTTTGCATCGCTGCGCTTTAATGTCTTCAGGCAGTTTTAGCAAACTTTTTAAACTATTTAAAACTATTTAAAATACGGCGATACGCATAACTTAAGAAGTGAGAGTAAAACTTTCGACTCTCTGAAACACTTATTTAATTGAATGAGTAAATATGTAGAAAAGTAAGTGTCATGACAAGAAATAATTGTGTTTGACTCCCCTCCCCCCTCCCCCCTAACTAGCTACTATCCTATTTACACTAATATTTGATGATAATCTGTGTTTCCTATCGACTATTTAAAGCATGAGCAAGTCTATTTAACTTAGTTTTCATATATTATATATTTATTTAGTTATATATTCTTGCTTAAATGTAAATATAACTAAAATTCTAGTGTTTATACAATGTCATAAGATTCAAAAAAATATAAATGATAAAAAATTTCTTATGTTTTATTTACTTATTTAAACCCTCCATTTAAAATTCCAAACTTAAATTATACGTTCTTAATTTAATGATTTTGCATCGCTGCGCTTTAATGTCTTCAGGCAGTTTTAGCAAACTTTTTAAACTATTTAAAACTATTTAAAATACGGCGATACGCATAACTTAAGAAGTGAGAGTAAAACTTTCGACTCTCTGAAACACTTATTTAATTGAATGAGTAAATATGTAGAAAAGTAAGTGTCATGACAAGAAATAATTGTGTTTGACTCCCCTCCCCCCTCCCCCCTAAAAGCGTGACGAACTTTAAAGATGACCCATTAATTTTTGTTCAAAAATCATTCTATTTTTAAAACTAAGATTGCTTGTGGGTTTATATTTTTTATTAATTTTTGAAAATACTTTTTTTTAAAAAAAGGTTTGAGTTTAATATTAATACAGCGTAACTTATTTGTAATGACTTAAAAGTAGAAAATAAAATACAGTAAAAACATTTGCTCAAAAATGTAATCTTTTTTGTACTAAAAATTAAAAAATAAACTTTTTAATTTAAATTTAATAGTTTAGTAAACTAAAGATTGACAGGAATGTTTTTAAATAAACCTTGCAGACCTGTCAATCTTTAGTTTACTGAACTATTAAATTTAAATTAAAAAGTTTATTTTCTACTTTTTAGTACAAAAAAAGTTATATTTTTGAGCAAATTTTTTAGCTATACTTTATTAAATAACAAGAAAATAAAATTAAAAAGTTACACTGTTATTTTACTATGTTGAATTTACGTAATTTTTTTAAAAATAGATTTATTTATTTATTTTAAAACAAAGTATAGCAAAAAAAAATAAAAAATGTGTCTTATTTATGATAATTTTATTATGTTTAAAACTATTTAAGAAAATGATCCGAAATTTTATATTGTATTAAACACAGTTTTGAACAGAGCTGGAAAAAACCTTTTTTTTATTATTTCAGAAAGTGGGTTTTTGGGTTGTTTGGGTATTTTTTTTTTTTTTTTTTTTTAAATGCTAGATACCATTATCAAAATAAAAAAACCAAAGATTAATGACTGCATGACAAGCATAATTAGGAGATTTACAGAAAATTCAATGAATATCAAAACGAAATTGTTTAAGATATTAAAATTTTAGCAAAAATGTCATAATAATAGTTTTCAAAACTTACACGGTAAAAACAAAAAACCCAATAAACCCTGAAATTCTATTTCATTGGGTTTTTTCAAAAAACCCAAAAAACTCAAAACCCAAAAAGCCCACTTTGTCCAGCCCTGATTTTGAAAGAGATTTTAGTAACAAAGTGATTCAAAGAAAATCTTGCAGCATAATTATGCTGCAAGATTTTCTTTGAATCACTTTGTTACTAAAATCTATTTTTTCAAATGCACTGCAGTTTCATGTGATGATACCAATATCTGTAAATTACAAATTAAAAGTAAGAGTATTACAGTGTAATACACTTACTTTTAATTTGTACGGAATATATAACAGAAAAGCTTAACATAAAGAATTTTTCTTATTTAAAAAATATGAAGTTAAGAGCGAGAAAGGTGCTTCTGTGTTATTGTTACTTTTTAAATCTTTTTTCTGAGAAATATTAATAAAACTTCAGCAATTTTTATATACGTATACCTTAGTTATTCATTTTTAAGTGATTTATTGTCCTTCATTCACCTATTTAAATTTGTAATTATTAAAGTTTTTAAATAACTGAAAATGATTGTACATTAAACACATTAATAAATAATTACGTAATACGTATTACGTATTACGGTGTGTTTGATCAATGGTTTAACTATCATCAAAATTTTCAAGAAACTGTCATATAACAAATTTTAGTTTTTTATATCAAACTTAGTGATATCTTATATAAATTAGTTGATTTTTGCTTATTATTATATATTTTGCATATTCTTTAAAAGATCGTCTTATAAACCATATCTTAAAAATCATATCCTAAAATCTGCTTCTACTCTTGAACATTCTCTAATTTCATTGTTAAAACTACAAAAAGTAATACTTCAAACTTTTCAGAACACTTCATAACAACTTTAAAACTACGTAATTGAAAAAGGGGTAGCAGTGTTGTTTAAATACATCTTTTTAGAAATTTAAATTTGGCACAAAGTTAACCCTATTTTAAAACAATTTTAGTCACTGAATTTTTTTATTTCGTAGAACACAGTTTTTAGTTTTTGTTGGTCTGTTAAAGTATTTATGTCTGAAGGTTTATAGAACTTTATTTTGTAGTTTAAGAAATATTTGCTGATCTCAAAAAATAAAAGGAAACATCATTAAAAAAACGTACGTAGGAGGTCATTTTCTCAATTCCTTCTCCTCCCGTGTGTTTATTTAAATAACCAAACAAATAATTTTTATTAAAAAAATCACAAAGCCATAGGTTTTGTATTTTTTAGATAAAATTATTCGCCTTATTATCATCTTTTTAAAAGTCAAATTATTGTTAGAGTTTTCATTTAATTGATCAACATCGCTGCTCTCGACTGGTGTGATATTGATATCTTAATACTTTTATTTACGTCAGTTTTTTTCATATTAAAGGATCTGTTTCTGTTAACGGAACAATATGTCTTATTTAGTAATCTGTTGTAGGAATTTTAAATACGGGTTAATTTATTTTCATATATATATATATATATATATATATATATATATATATATATATATATATATATATATATATATATATATATATATATATATATATATATATATATATATATATATATATATAGATTTATTTTTTGTTATTAAAAGTAATGTAAGTAGAGTAACATACAACAGCTTGAGAGTTATATTGCTTTAAAAAAAATAGTGTGATTCTTAATGGATCCATGGTAAAAAAAATGAAAAAAAAAAGTTTTTTTTAATTGTTTTTATTAGATAAACTACCACCTATCCTTCATAAGAAAGTGATTTTTATTCATTCTTTACATTAAAAACCAGTTTAAAACAGCAAATGCGTCATCTTATTTATGCGTCAATTATTGTTCATAGCAACGCGCATAGCAACAAAAACAGTTAGTCAATTCCTTTATATATACTCACATTACATTGGTGATGAAGATACTAATTCCTTTTAAAAAGTTTTGGAGGCTATACCTTATGGAGAAGAATTAATTCCAATTAAGCTTGAGTGCGTGGGCTATGTCTGAAAAAGAATGGGGACAAGACTAGGAAAACTTCGTCATGATTACAGAGGTAAAAAATTAGATGACAATGAACCAATTTCTGGAAAAGGAAGATTAACTGATAAAATAATAAACAAGGTGCAAAATTACTATGGAATTGCTATACTGCTAATATTGGCTCATTATATGCTATGAAAGAATCAGCGTTAGATGTTTGTGGCATTGTAGCGATATTCCTAATATTGTTTAGAGGTACCTGTTTTGTTCCCGCAATTTAGATAGTTGGTGCAAATGGCAGAGGAACCTAATAACTGGTCAAAAAACATTTAAAGCCTGCACCAGTTAGCCTCTCATTATAAAACATATAGTTGAAACAAACATTAGAAATATGTGTTGCATCAGCTGTTTTAACATATAATGATGGTTTATTAGGATATGAAAAGTTATTTAAACATCTTAATATTTTGTTTGGAAAATATAGCATTGCAGGAGCTCATAATATGGAACTTTCAAGGGTAAAAAATATGAACAAAATAAGTAAGGCACCTCAAGTTATTTATAGAAAAAAACTAAGAGCTTGTAGAAAAGGTTTCATAGACATGGGAAAAGAAACTGATGATTCTTAATCATGTTTTGTAGGAAATTATTAAATACTAAATTTTTTTTGCATTTTTTTTCGTTCTTAATTTTTAAGAATGCATCAATCTTACAACTATAGAACTATATCTCAAGATACGCATATAGATAAAGGTTCAAATTTTCAATTTATACTTTAAGGTAGTGCCAGAAGCAGGATTTTTAGAATAAGTTTTTTTTTATTATTGAAAAATATCTATTTCTCTATCATTTTTTAATCAAATTTTTGGATTATTCACTAATTTAGGAGCCATTTTTAAAAGGGCATAAAAATATAAAATAATCCTGCTTCAGGCACTTTATCAATGCGTTTTCTCCAATTTGTAATTTTTTTAGCTTGAGTACTTTTTAAGCATCAGTTGTTTTAAATAACTCACTTTTTTCGCATTTTTATGCTGATTCAGCATTTCAAGATTATAGCTTTTTTTATTTTGTAAAATTTTTTTATTGTTACT